CTTTATTCGCCGGCTTCTAACACCGAGCCTGCTTATTTGGCAGTTTCTCAAGTTACTCCCCTCAGGCAGCTTGAGCCAGTAAAACTAGATCCTTTCATCTCGGCGGAGCTTACTGACAACCAGCCGTCTGGTTTCCTAGGAAACAAAATCTTGGCTAGGAATAGTGAATCATTTCCAGGTCACTTTCAACATGGAGAGTGGAGCCGGGAAGCATTGGACTGAGGAGGAGGTTAAAGCCTTGTTAAGCGTCTGGTCAGAAAAAAATATCAGAAAGCAACTCCATGGCACCCTGAGGAATAAAGGAATATTTATCTACATTGCTAAAAGGTTGCAGGAGTTAGGAGTTTGCAGGGACTGGAAACAGTGCCGTGCAAAGTATAAAAACCTGAAGTATGAATACAGAACAGTTAAATATGCCCGCAACTCTGGAGACGTCACTAAAACCATGAAGTTTTTCCATGATCTGGATGCCATATTGCGATATGAACCTGTCACACAATTAGCAGCAGAAGAAAACGGCAGGTGTTCTGCGACTGAGACGCAGCTGCACACAAGCCCCGCGACAGAGAGCGTTCAAGGTAAAGAACTGGTTTTGCTTCTATTTTTCTCTCTTTGCTTAAAACCCAAAGGGAACAGAACCGAAGCCTGAGTTTGCTCGAGCCGAAGCGGAGGTTGCGCAGCCCCAACCGCAGCACTGGTAGAACTGACTTGGTGCACTCCTCGCACAGGGGAATAAAATGTTAGCACCCACCAGTGTCGAAGTCTGTAAATACAGCATAATTCTAGCAAAATTATGCCAACTGTTTGTATTGCAGCCTCAGTGAGTAATCGGTGGTGTCAAGGCTCCTGCACTGGGTTGAAACGTTGAATTAAGAAAAGCTGTTTTCTTTGCCTTGTACATTCGTTTGCTGTACTTTGGAAGTAGGTTTTGTAGAGCTCCAATTCAGATGTAAACTTAGATAAAAGTAAAGGCTGAAACTGTCATGATTTTTGAAAAATTGTTATTTGTGATACAAGTGAAATTTATTATTTTTAGTCTTATTTCTCTGTAACTTAAAATTTAGGTATGGTGACTAAATGTAAATTAAATTATTTTGTAAGTAATTCAGCTTAAATATTTGAGAAACAGAGGCATGTTTAATAACTTCTCATTAAAAATTATAATGTAGTGAGGAAAGTAAGAATCATCATGTTTATCAGACTATTTTGAGGCAAACCAAATGAAAACAACTGCTTTGATTCTGAAGGGGTTTTTACCAAATTATTTGTATCTCTTGTTTTATTCAGCTGTCTCTACATACCCATTTAAGCTGTGCTTAACATTTCATTAGGGTCAATCTGCTATTTGACATCACTCAAATCTCCTTGTCACATCCTAAATGTCACTGAAGCATAAACCCCAGTAATAGTTATAAGTACTAAAATAAGATGGTTAAAAAGAGAAATGCAAAGCTTAGCTGTTTGTTCCAGCAGTTTGTGTCAGTCTGCATTAATTAAGATTGTGAATCTTTTTTTAAGAAAACAAGAAACATTAGTATCAGGGGAGATGCCAAAGGCACAGAAAGGAGCTGTACATCTAGCTTGCCCTTGTACCCTTCCACATCTCCCTCTACAATGCTATTTTACAGGTCCGAGGAGAAGAAATTGCCATTTTTCTTGTCATTGTTTACCTTAACGAAAAGCTCGACCTTAGTTTGTCACCACTAGCAGAAAGCCTCTAGTCTGTCAAAGTCACTTTACATTAAAATAGTTATTTCATAATATTTTAAAATGTGCTCTCTGCACTGTGTATTGCAATACATTTTTGTTTTTAAACTTGCAGAACTGAGGCTAATACAAGCTGTTAGAGTTCTGAGGACTATATGAAACGAAGTGTCCTTCATCTAAGGATCTGCCCGTAGATTACCCTCTGTGTTTTGAAGTAGTTTGCAGCAACTGTTAATCCTAATTCTCATCTGCGGTGAGACACAGCATTAGAACAGTCTGGTTTTAAAGGTGGTATAATTAATTAATTAAATATATCTCTTAAATAGACAAGCATTTCTGTTATTCACTTAAAGAAAAAAAACAAGTTTTATGGATAAACACAAATTAAATTCAACTAACTGTAATAATGCAACACTATTAGTAAGAAATTAAATGCAAAGATTCAGCCACAAAGAAAACACACTAAGATAGAAATGTGTCCTGCAGCTATGCAGAATGCATACATCCATAACAAGGGGCAGAGAGAGCAGCTGTGCGAACATCCAACTTTCTTCATTGAAGAATACAAGTCAAGCACATAACGCCATACTAGAGGCTCAGTCCTTTTCCAACTGCGATCAGAGTTGCAGTGTCTGCTCTGGGGAGGCTGCCCAGCTCAGTACTTTGAAGGGCACTTTGTAGGGCAAAAATGGCATCTGTGGCTCTGCACCTGATGCTCACAAGTTCTTTTGTGGGGGCAGATCTGATGGTGTCGCTCCCACAGAAAGAAATGTGATTCTTTGCCCAGGCGAAGGCAGCCCACTGCCCCTGCCCAGCAGTGAACCTGGCGTCTCCCCCATGGCCTGTGGGAGGAAGGGAGCTGCTTTAACATGGGTATCATCCTGCTGGAGGAAGGGGACTGCTTTAAGGTGGCTATCATCCTCTGTAAGGCCAACAGACCATAATTCAACAGACCTACAGCTGTGTCCCTGCAGGGCCCTGCCTGGGCTTTCAACCACTGAGCCTTACAGGACAGGAGGGAAAAATGGTCCCTCCTCTTTTTAAAAAGAGGCTGAGAAACCTTATTTTGACAGAGCTGGAGAAACCAAGGATGTCTAGGCTTCTGGCTTGGGTAGCAAGAACAAAAGGCTATTATCAAACTAAAACCTGTGCCAAAAAAATAACATCCACTATGCATGTCTTACCTTATTTGAAGAACTTAGTAGCTATACTAATTTGTTTTGTTTAAAAAGTGTGACAAGGGATAGGGCGTGCTTCTAAATAAATTATTTTTACCATTCTGGTTAGCCTCAATCTAAAAATTCATACCCAACCTTAATATAAAGTTACAAAGCACATCTTTGTGTTTGACTTGCCTGATTGTCTCAACTACTGGGAGACTGCTGAGCAGGAGGAGGGAAGGGTGGAGGGAAGAAACAGACTACTTCTATGGGACTGAACAGTATTTCTGTAGTTGTTTCCCTGAGGGTTTTTTTTTTTTTTCCATCTCTTATAAAATCAGTTTTCTTTTGAAAGTATAATTTAATAAATTAATACTGAAAATCACAATCAAATCTGGGAGTGGTGTCTAAGGACAAACTTAGTAGCAACACATATACCAATTCCCATCTTGTTCATAGAAAGATGACACTTGCACAAGCTCATACAGCAATGCAAACCAGCGATGTTCATGTTGTCCTCCCAAAATACATGTTTTCAGAGGTAAACACAGAGCCATAGGTTAAATAATCATTACAAAAATCTACAACTCAACATGTTCACTTCTCTTAAAATTTAGTTTGTGTATTATCCAAGTAATCAGTGACCAAGAAAATCCATGTAGAGGGATGATGCACTGTGAAAAATGGTATAATGCATTAGAGTTCAAATGAATGACCTTCCTATTTTGTTAACCAGTTTTGATTGTTTCAAGTTAAATCAAGTATTAATAAGTCTAGTACGTGATTTACAAAAGTAAAGCTCACCTAGTAATTAATGTTAAGTTACTTATGCTCTTTTTTATTTCTCTCTTTATGTTTAAATATTAACGCACTGGCCACTTTCCTTGCCCTTCACTTTACCACAGTAAATGGAGAAAAATTATCAAGTCTGAGCAGAAATGCATTAGTAATGAGAATATTATCATATGTATAAAACTCAGACAGCTACCAGAAATGCAAAATGATCCTTCAGAAATGCTGACTTGAAAATGCCACTCATACATAGTTTTCCATGTCTGGACTTTAAACATGTAATTGATAAATATTTTTTTTTAATAAGTGTGCAGTACTCTTTCTGAGTAACTTCTTTGCTCATCAGATGCCTTTTTTCCCTCATGAAATATTCTAACACCTTTTTGTGTTAACTGTTCTTATTTACTTAAAGCAATAAATTGTTTATTTTTAATATTACAATGTAATTAAACTTGCTCATCCTAGTACCCATCTCAGCAGCCTTCCAACAGAGTCTTTATTTCCCCTTTCTGTAGTTTGCTTTGCAGCTCTTAGGCAGATAAAACGCCAGTCCTGGTGCTAGAGCTGGAGGCGTGAGCACCCTTCCCGGACGCAGGGGTAGCAGCTCCTGCCAGAGAAGCCAGGTGGACAGCTGGGAGCAGTCAGAGATCAGGCCACTGCATCTATGAGTCATTTTGAGCCTTGCTGAAAGTCAGGAGGCTTTAGGACAATGTTTTCAAATGCAGTTTTCAGTTTCACCTAGTCAGGGAGAGCAGGTTGCATCCTAAGCACACCTTGTTACTGTTCCCTGTGACCAACTACCTTTGAACAGGCAGTTTGATCTCTTGTGACCTGCCTGGCTGGAGCTGACAGTAGCTCACTCCCCCTACAGTGAATCAACATTTCAAACCTTCTGTTAACATGGTACGTTGAATACAGCATATTACTATAGAACAACTTAAAAGCCTGACCTCTGTGAAAATTAAGACGATTCAGAACCTGACTTGCGTATGCTGCTTTCCAAATTTACACAGCAATTGCTATAATATTGCTTTTTAAACAAATGTAGGAATGCTATACTATAAAAAGCTGGACTGAATCCTGTGGGCTACAAATACATCTGTTCTCCAGTCATGGTATTTTCCCACTTTCCCTGTGCTGTTAATGAATTCCATAGATATCCAGGACTGTTTTCAGTACACACTTGTTTTCTTCATATTCTTCTCTAAATACGCCTCTTGGAATTTCTTTTTTTGTTATATAAATGGATTTGTGGTTATTGGAACCCATGTGCAAAGTCCACTGTTATTTGTATGTCTCTTATTTTCATTATCTCCTTTCATACTCTACTTTTAATATGCTGTCCACCTCAAATACTAAGCCAGAAAAGCATACAAGTCACTAGACTCAAGTCATTTTCTACAAGAATTTTAAAATACATTTCAAACAGGCTTCATATGCAAAATATAAAATTATTTAATTTGCCTCCTATAGCTTGTGTCCCCTTATGGGGACAGGCCAAATGAATTTTAAATTTCATTCAAATACAAATTAAGTGTGGAGATTACAACATCAATAATCTTTTCATTGTGTATGGACATTTTAACTTAAACTAATTTAAGCTAATTTAGTCCATACCTATTTTTCATCTGAAAACTTTTTCTTCCCAGGTGAAATATCAGTTTCTTTAGAAGATGATGAGGATGCTTCAGGAGATCCACTACTTTTTATGTCACATGTCAGACCAGTTCAACTAGGTATAGTATGATGGTGCAGAAAGATCAAAAACTAAAAAGCAGCATGGCTGTCAGAGCACTTTCTGATAGCTTGACTACGCCATCATTCTGTTTCTGATCAATCCAGCTTTAAAATAGACACACTTTTGCACCATCTCCTTCCCAGTTTTAGCACTCAGCAGTCTCATGCATCACTAGATACTC